TGTCAGAGACAGTATGATTGGCACAGGACAGAGCGGAGTTTAGGGCTGTTGTATATAGGGTCGCTATGAATCGCAGGCGACTCGACGGCACATAACAACAACAACAACAACAACAATAAAACAAGCAAGCACACAAATATAAAACAAACATGCATAGTACGGCTAATTCATCTGGTCTGGGACAGTGTATTTGCCAGCCTAGGAGAAAACTGAAGTTGATTTCAAGTGTTCAGTCGCGGTAGGTGTGTCAGAGACAGTAAGATTGGCACAGGATAGAGCAGAGTTTAGGACTGTTGTACATAGGGTTGTTATGAGTTGAAGGCGACTTGACGGCATATAACAAGAACAACAACAACAACAACAACCATGTTTCAAAGAGAAGCCCCAATAAGAATGTATTTGAAGATCTTAAAAGTGGAAGATTGTATATATCTCTCTATCTCTATATCTCTGTATCTGTCTATCTATCTATCTATCTATCTATCTATCTATCTATTAAGAAGAGTGTGTGTATATATACATATAAGAGTTTATCTAATCATTCCTTTCTTTTGTAATGATTTGATGTAATAGGTACCATAGAGACATGAAATACTGGTCCTTGGTCCTTAATTAAATTCACAAGGACAGAAAGCAGCTTTAGTCACGATGTTGTATGAAAACATACAATACCATCTCTTCCATCACCTACCTATACCTATTCCTACAGAAAATTGCAAATAAATATGTATTTCGACATCCATATCTTTGCATAAAAATATTAACTTTTATAAAATAGATTGTGCATGATCATTGAAATCTCTAAGTGGTGCAAACAATTAACATATTCAACATCCTAGTGTAAGGTTGAAGCCTCAGATATGCCCAAAGGCACCCTTTGTAAAAATGATCGGGCCATCTTATTCTGAAAAAAACAAAAACAAAAACCCACAAACAAACAGCTATTGAAAACCTTGTAGAACGTAGCTCCTCTTTGAAGGACATAGGCAACCTTGATTTGAAATCAGCTCAGCAGTCACTGGTTCGTTTCCGTATCCATCAGAAAAGACTACCATTTTTTTTTTATATTGCTAAAAGAATGAATTTTAATAGCTTATTAATGCTTGTGTTTTTAAAAATTATCTGGCTATGGCTTACATTATTAGGTATTTTCTTATTGATTTATCAGAATTCATTGCTCATTTAAATCCTTAAGGCTTAACTGACATAATTGTAATCTTTTTATTATTTAAGTCTGAATTTTTAAAACACATTTGTAGTTCATGTAGTTAAATATTTTCATTCTTTCCTTTATTTATCAGCCTATTTAGATCATTTAGTTGCTTTCATTTTTCTATCTGGTCTTTTATAAAACAATTTTGTGAACTTTGCCTTTTATTTCTAAATTTTTCATTATTTTACTATATATTCTTTACTTTTATTTCTAGTATTTTCTAAATACCATGACATTTCAAAATGTTCTTCTGTCATAGGCCTGTGAAATGATTTATCTGCTTGAGCAACTCTGGCCAGAAGGATCTGATATTCGACGTGTTCTTTGTGTTACTTCATGTTCACTGTCTTTGAGAATGTACCATCACTTTTTAGTTAACAGAAAGAAGACTGCCTCTGGTCAGGTAACTAAAATGCAACATACCTGATAAAAGTTAATATTTTATTGTACAACGCCATGGCACTCTAATAATTCTATTGATTTGTGTTTGTTTTTATATTATACTAGTTTATTTGTTGTTGTTTTTGAATACATTGTTTTTTAGACCAGATTCCTCCAATTTGATACTTTCTTGGTGTCGTTACTAACTTTATCGGGTTACCTATTATTTGGGAGCACTAGGTGGCCTAGTGCTTAATGAGTTGCACTGCGAATTCAAACGTCAGTGGTTTAAGTCCACAAACTACTACAGGGGAGAAAGATGGGCAATCTCCTCTCTTCTGCTTAGAAATTTTTGAATTTGGAAAGCTCATTGGAGATTTAGCTATGAGTTGTTTCTGATTTCAGGATCCATACTAATAGTACTGCTTATTTAGGAACAAACTCTGTTTTAAAAGAATATTTCTACTCTGTTTGGAGCTTTGGGGGTCTTAATGGTAAGAAACAACCCCAAAAGCAGGTCATTTGAATCTCAAAGCTGTTCTATGGGAGAAGGATGGGCAATTTCCTCCCACGCAATTTACTGCATCGAAAAACCTGCTGGAGTGTCAGCTATGAGTTAGTACCAACTGGACGGCAAACAACAACCCTAGTTTCTAGGTGTCATTCCAACTGAGGAAATGCTTAAATACATAATCTTTTTTTCACCTTTTCTTTACTAATAGGGCTTATTAAGAGTCTACTAAAAATTATGATTTTTTCTTAACTGAGCATTCATCTGTACATTGACAATCATATGTGAGCATAGGAAAACACATACTTTTATTAATTTGAGTGGAATCTGATTGGTGGGAGAATTATACTTTAAAGAGCCAAATAAGTGTTTCTTTCTTCCACAATTTAAAAATTGTGTTGGACTCATTGTTTTTTACATACAACTTTACATTTGGTAAATTTGTTTGGTACATTTTACATACTCATTTTTGCATTGATTTTTGTTGTTTTTAAAATTTTGTATTAGTTTGCATACAAAACTCATAGGAATTATACTTTAATCATATACTTACTTTGTGTTTCATGCAATCATTTCCATACATCATATTTTATAAAACTAATCACTATTGACAATATGGATTGAGGCTCAATGTCAAGAAGACAGATTCTCACCACTGGACCAATTGGCAGCATCAGGGTGGATGGTGAAGAGATTGAGATTGTTCACAGCTTTAGTTTGCTTGGCTCTAAAGTCAATACTCTTGGCACCAGTAGCTAGGAAATGAAAAGGCGCATTGCCATGGGAAAGTCTGCTGTTAGGGACCTCTCCAAAGTACTGAAGAGTGGTCTCTCTGGAGATTAAGGTGTGTCTGATAGAGGCTATGGTCTTTGCAATCACTTGTTATGCATCAAAGAATTAAACAATGACCAAGGAGGGCAGAAAGAGAATTGATGCTTTTGAGCTGTGGTGCTGGAGAAGAGTACTGAGAGTACCATGGACTGCTAGGAAAACAAACAGATTCATCCTGGAAAGGGTTAAAACTGGTGGCTCCTTGGAGGCAAGGATTCTGAGGCTTCGTCTGACAAACTTTGGACATACTGTAAGGAGAGGCCGGTCCTTTGAGAAAGACATCATGCTTGGTAGTGTGGAGAGACAGCGTAGGAGGGGAAGGCCCTCTATGAGGTGGATTGATTCAGTGACAGGGGTAGTCGGTATGGGTGTGTCAGAGACAATGCGATTGGCACAGGACAGAGTAGAGTTTAGGGCTGTGGTAACATAGGGTCACTATGAGTCACAAGCGATTCGACGGCACATAACAACCACAACAACAACAACAATCACTGTTGATCTATGATGGCAATCTTCTTTATAGCTCTCCACTAGATATACCATAATTCCTCACTTTCTTCCTCCACCCACCAATTTTTGTGACTCAGTGATTGTTCCCCATCCTCAATCTCACCCCCCCCTTTCCCCTTTGGACTTTTATACACATCTACTAATTATCCTTCTATTTTTACAATAATGGTCTTATACAGTATTTGTCCTTTTGAGATTGAGTTAATTCACTCAACATACACTTTTACATTTAAAATATTGTCTTTAAATCTTTCTTAATAAAGCATTTTTACACGATTATAACATTTTAATTATTCTCTCTCTCTCTCTCACACACACACACACACACACACGCACACACACAAAATGATATTAAGCCAAATCGATATCTCTGAAACCTCTAATCATTGGATAGTGCTTGGCACTCTAAAGAGAACTTGTGTAAATCTTAATCTCAATTACTGACCACCCTGTGAACAGTAAAGATAATAATGAGGTTTCTGTTACTTGGTGTGAAATACTTCCTTTTATTTTCTCTTTTCACTATTGGATACATTTTTCAGATATTTTGACATTCTAATTACATTACACTGTTTATTTTAAATATTTCTTTACACACAGGATGACTTATGTGGAGTAAAATTATTAATGTGTTACTCAAAACTTTATAAAATATTTAATCTGTGTATGTTTGACTTAACAGAATCTTCTGAAAAGTTCTTTATATGAACTGCTGTTACTCTGGAAGTTTCATTTTCTCTGTTTTCATATAAACGCACTTGTTTACATATAAAAGGAAAGACTTTCTCAAAAGTGTATTTTGAAAATATAGTGAGTGCCTAATTCCATGTATCAGAAATGGCTACTCACGTTGATTGTGCTTCCTCTTCATTACTTCCCTTCTTTACTTCTTGCAGGTCAACAGTAAGCCCCTATCCCTGCAGGAAGTGGAAGATCTATGCAGACTTCATTGCCTCAGTGTGGCTTTTCTACTCCACTTACCTCTTTCCCAGAGAGCTGGTGCTAGATTCATTACTTCCCATTGGATTCAAGATACCCAGACTTTCTTTAAAATGGTAAATAGACTTTCTTAGTTGTTTTTTGTGTGGATAATTTGATAGATATTTAAAAATGTAAAATATGTCAATAATCACTTCAAAAGTAGAAACAATATCAACCAGTTGACGACTAAAAAGTTTTATGACCTAAATAAATAACTTTCTGACTTTTAACACCTAAGTTTAGTAGTAATAACAAAGAGCCTGATTATTCCTTAACTTACGAGAAAAAAAAGTCTTACTAGTTTCCTCAAAAGTAGCATGATAAAGTTTTTGCATGATCAACTATAGAAGATTGTCTGTTGTCTATTGTGTCTATTTTTGAGAGGAAATGAAGAAATAAGTAAATTGATTTATTAATTTTGTGCATTACAAACAATATTTACAGAAATTTAGAGACTTTGGAAAAATAGGAAAAAGACCCCAAACATTAGCACTTAATCAATCACATTCTTATTACTTGAATTAAATGTTGGAACTGTTAATGTTTTGATTTATTTTAAGTATTTTAAATACATAGATGTTATAATTGCTATTCCTTACATTAGTGAAATTATCCTAAAAATAAATTATTGACAAAATATAATTCCTATGAATGTAATTACTTTTCTTAGACGTACTATGGTTTACTTACCCATCATCCTATTACAGTTTATTCAGAGGCCTTCAGTTACTTTATAAATGCTACTATTTGCCAGTCCCTTTATTTTTAACACTTTGATTTTATTTGAGATCACTTATTTAGATTCACTCTCAGAAATGGTTTAGTAGGTTGGTTGACATTGTTGTTGTTATGTGTCATTGAGTTACTTGCATCTCATAGCAACTCTGTACACAATTCTGAACTCTGTCCTATATTGAGCCAGTCTTACTATCTCCAACACAACTACTTTCATTAACATTACCCCAGTTACTGTGTTAATCCATTTCATCCAGGGTCTTCCTCTCCTGAGCTGTTCCATCACCCTTCCAAGCATGATGTCCTTCTCCAAGGACTGATCCCTCCTGGCAACATGCCTATAGTATGTGAAATGGAGCGTCAAGATCCTTGCTCCCAGGGAGCAAGTTGGTTTCATCCTCTCCAGGACAGAGCTATTTGTTGTTCTCTTGGCAGTTCATGATTATGTTCAATACTGTTCTCCAGGGCCATGAATCAAAGACATTGATTTTTCTTCTATCATCCCTAGTCATTGTCCAGTTATCAAATGCATAGCAAGTAATTGTGAAGACCATGGTGCAGATCAGGAGCACCTAATTCTGCAGACTGACACCATTGCTCTTCAGCACTTTAATGGAGTTCCTGACAGCAGATTTGCCCATCGAAATTCACTTTTAAATTTTCTGACTACTGGTGCCAAGATTGTTGATTGTGGAGCCAAACAAGCTAAAATTGTTAATCTCGTCTTCTTGTGTCATGATGCTGCCAATTGACTCAGTCCTGAGAATCTGTTTTCTTGATGTTGAGCTTCAACCCATTTTGGAGACTGCAGTCCTTGAGATTCTGCAGCAAATACTTCAGGTCCTCCCTCAGTTTCAAAAAGGAAGATAGTGTTCTCTGTGTAAGGCAGGTTGTTTATGAAGTCTTCTTCCAATCCTCATGTAGTAGTTCTCCTCATAAAGTTCAGCCTACCTAATGATTTGTTTTCTGTGTTTAGAGTCAAAAGGTAGAAGGACAAGACACATCCATGACAATTGTCTTGATTTTAAAGCATTGCTTGGCTCCACAGTCAACACTCTCGGCACCAGTAGCCAGGAAATTAAAAGATGTATTGCGATGGGAAAGTTTGCTGTTAGGGACCTCTCCAAAGTACTGAAGAGCAATGGTTTCTCTCTGGAGACTAAGGTGTGTCTGACATTGGCCATGGTCTTTGCGATTACTTGTTATGTATCAGAGAGTTGGACAATGACTAAGGAGGCTAGAAGGAGAATTGATGCCTTTGAGCTGTGGTACTGGAGAAGAGTATTGAGGGTACCGTGGACTGCTAGGAAAACAAACAGATTCATCCTGGAAAGGGTCAAACTGGACCGCTCCTTGGAGGCAAGGATTCTGAGGCTCCATCTAACACACTTTGGACATGTTGTAAGGAGGGACCGATCCTTGGAAAGGGATATCATGCTTGGTAAGGTGGAGGGACACCGCAGGAGGGGAAGGCCCTGTGACTGGGGTAATCATGATTGGTGTATCGGAGACGGTGCAATTGGCACAGGACAGAACAGAGTTCAGGGCTGTTGTACATAGGGTCTCCATGAGTCGCAAGCAACTCGACGGCACATAACAACAAGTGTTTCCTTACTCTGTTCTTATGACTGCTTCCTGGTCAAAGTGCAGATTTGACATGAACGTAATTAAGTGCTCTGAGATTCTCATTCTTCCCAAGGTTAGTTGCAATTTGTTGTGGTCCACACAGTTAAATGCCTTTGCATAGTCAACGAAACACAGATAGAGATAGACATTCCTCTGGTACTCTCTGCTTTCAGTTAAGATCCATCTGACATTGGCTGTGATGTCCCTAGTGCCACTGCCTCTTCTGAACCTAGCTTGTACTTCTGGTAGTCTTCTGTCAACACGCTGTTCAATTCATTTTTTAATAATGCTCAGCAGGATTTTGTTTGTGTGTAATATTAGTGATACTGTTCAATACTTTCCAAACACTGGTTACCTTTTATCGGAATGGGAATAAATATGGGTCTCTTTCAGTCAGTTGGCCAGGTAGCTGTCCTCTAGATTTTTTGCACAACCTGGTGAGCACGTCCAAGTCTGCATCAGTTTGTTGAAATATGTCAATTGGTATGTCATTAATTTCTGAGAGCTTGTTTTTGCTAATTCATTCAGAGAAGCTTGGATTCCTCTTTCATCACCATTGCCTCTTAGTCATAATTCTTCTGTTTCATCCAGTTCTGACTTTTTTTTTCAGTTCTTACTTTTACAGTGACTCTATGTACTCCTGTCATCTTCTTTTGATGCTTCCTAGATCATTCAATATTCTATCCATAGCATCTTTAAATATTGCAACTCAAGACTTGAATTTGTTTTTCAGTTCTGGCAGCTTATGAAATTGTCAGCAAGTTCTTTTTTTTAAATTTTCTTACTCTAGCTCTTTGCACATTTCATTATAATACTTTGCTTTGCCTTTCCAAGCTGCCCTTTGAAATCTTCTGTTCAACTCCTTAACTTCCTGAATTCTTCCCTTTGCTTTGGCTTCTAGGTGCTCTACTGCAAGATTCAGAATCTCGTCTGACATTTATCCTGATCTTTTCTTCCTTCTCTGTCTTTGTAATGACCTTTTGCATTCTTCATGGATTATATTCTTGATATATTATATTCTTAATATATTATTATTTCTGTTAGTGTTCACAACCTCAGACCTATTCCTGATGGCTTTTAAATTCAGGTGGGATGGACTTAAGGTCAAATTTTGGTTCTTCTGAATTTGAGTTCATTTCTTTAAATTCAACTTGAACTTGCATAAAAGTAGTTGGTGGTCTGTTCTACAAACAGCACCTGGCCTAGTTTTCACACCTAATGTTTTGCTTCTCCATCATTTCTGTCCACATATGTAATCAATCTGATTCCTGTGTACACCATCAGATGAAGTTCATATATATAGTCACAGTTTGTGTTTCTTATAAACGGTATTTACAATAAATAAATCATTGTGCAAAAGTCTATTGTTCTATCTCCAACCTCATTTCTGTTACCAAGTCTAAATTATCCAGTACAGATTCTTTTTTTCCATTCCTAACATTTTTATTTCTATCACCCGTTATTGTTAGTGCATCCTGATAGTGTATTTGGTAGATTTATGACTGCAACAATTAGTGGAAGTCATCTATTTCCTTCTCTTTGGCTCTGGTTGTTGGTGCATATATTTGAATGACAGTGGTATTAACTGGTCTTCTTTGTATACATGAGTATATCATCCTGTCACTCACATTATATTTCAAGATGGATCTAGAAATGATATTTTAACTATGAATGCAACCCCATTTTTTCTCATCTTTTCATTTCCAGCATAGTCGTTGTTGTTATATGTCATTGCCTGCGACCCATAGCGACCCTATGTACAGCAGCTCTGAAGCCTGTCCTGTCCTGAGCCAGTCTCACTGATTCCAACACACTTAATCCCATTTTCCCAGTTGCTTTATCAAAAGATCATATGATTATCTGATTCAAAATGTCCCATGCTAATCCTTTTCCATTTTGCCATTGACCAGTATGTCAATAGCTATGCGTTCCATTTCTTCCTTAACAGTGTACAACTTTTCTATATTCACAATTCTCACATTCCTCGTTCCAGTCACTAGTGTCTGTTTACAATTGTTCCTCCTCTTTGTGGCTCTGAATACCACGACTCAGCCTCTGGTGCCCTATCTGCTAGTCTAATCTATGTGTGCTCTATCGTACATAGGGTTTTCGAAGGCCTGTAATTTCGGAACTGGATGGTCAATCCTTCTCTCTAGTCTGTCTTAATTTGGATGATCAGCTTTAGAGCAAAATCTAGCAGACAAACATTTTACCCCCCAAAAAAGCAGAAGAAAGACTCTTCCGCATTGCACAACTATCAAATCCAGTGTTGTTTCTGCCATCCTCCGGAGATTTATCCTGGTCCTGTCATGTCACCCTGCCTCACCACATCCAACTTTGTTCTTTATTCTCGCCCTGCCAACACTGACATCCCTCTTCCCAACTACTTAGCAAGATGGCTCAGGCCACCAGCTGCTTCTATCTGCTCATTTCCTTTCCTGTGATCTGTCCTATGATGCTGGTGCTCTGGGAAGGTCTCTGGCGCAAGCAAATGTGCTGTCAACACAGGCAAATTTAAGATTGAGGCAGGTGAATTAAAGGTCTGGCTGTGCATAGGTGAAATCAGGATGGGATGACTGGCTGTGAGGTTCTTGGTTGATAGAGAGTTGGTTTGTTTTTTTTTGTTTTGTTTATTTGGTTTTTGTTCATACATGTTATCAGAAAGTTTAAGGAAAATATTTTATAAGCAATCAATTAAGAAATTATTCTATAAATATTTATATGAGCTCTGGTGAGGAGTAGAAACATAGTAAGAAAAGCACTAATACATTTACTTATCTCATTCTATCTTCTTCATGGATCTACATCTTGACATTCATTTTTTTAAATGACCATGAAAAAGTAATTAAGATTTAAACTCTAGTCATAAAAAGATCTAATTTTGAAAGAATGGTTCCTCAAGAAATAAAGAGAATTGAGGTGACCCAAGTTCTAAAGAATCAAGATTAACTGGGTGGGAAAAGGAGGCAAATTGGAATCATAGAGATTTGAAGCAGCGGAGGTAAACATCCTGAGGGTTACCCAGTCAATAGAATGAAATATGTCTAGTGGATCTCATGCAAGAAGAAAAATGCAACTGAAAAGACCTCTGGCAGCCAAGTCCATAGGTTGCACTGCTAAACCAAAGCTGAACCTCTCAGGTGGTTCAAATTCACTGAATGGCTCTGTGGGAGAAAGATGGATAGTCTCCTGCTATGCTGTTTTTAGCCTCAGAAATCTCCTGGAGTCTGTTCTGACCTGATGCAGGGAGGATTTTCTTTTGGCTTTATTTATTTATTTAAATAAAGAATGGAGCTAAGGAAGCAAGCCAGGGATAAATCATATAAAGCCTGCTAAGGGAATGGAAATATAACTTGATCAGAAACATATTGTGAATCCATTATAAGATTTCATACAGGTGAAATGGCACCTTCTTTTAATACATTTTGTGGTTGTCATGTTGAGACAGCAGTATAGAGTCAGAACAATGGGCTTGGAGAAACCAATTAGGTTACTATTATGTTTACCCATATGATAAGTGGCAGCAATGGGGACTAAGGATGTAGTAAGTAAGGGTAAATAAGAGTGAGCATGTTCAAGAGTTAAGATGTAGAACTGAAAAACTTGGTGGCTTGTACAGGACATGCAGGAAAGAGATGAGTTAACTTGACTCTCAAGTTCTGGTTTGAGCATTTATGTGGGTGCTGCCACAGAGGAAGGGTTCTTTTGGGGAGGAAGATCTAGAATTTAGTTTTGGAAATGACAGATTTGAAATGTCCATATGATATTCAAATGTTTAGGAGGAGTTTGATATCTAGTTAACAGTTTGAAGCACAGGTTTGGAACTTAGGAGAGTGAAATGGGACTTAAGAATTTAAAGATTTAGAATTCATTAGCCTGCAGTCAAAAGATACTCTAAAGGTAAGAGAGATGAATAGAAAATTTCAAGAGAAACGCCAGAAGAAAATACATACATATGCAAAGAGATATATTTTAAAAAAAAATCCATAAAGAACAGATTGACATTTTCCTGTGTGAATTTCATTTTTCATGACTTTGGAAACAAGGTCATGTGCTAAAAATTATAGAAAGAAAGCAAACATAGAAATTTAAGTACAATAAAAGATCTGGAAGAATGAATTCAGAATTCTAGTGTATAAACTGTTGAGAAGCAAAGATGTGATAAGTGTGTGTGTGTGTGTGTGTGTGTGTATTGCTTAGCAATTTGAAAGTCCATTTGAAGTTTAGATGACAAGAAAAATTAGAATGTTATAATTATTTTTCCCCCCAAGAACTTCAACCTGTATGTTATAGAAATGGAGAAAGTAATTTATTGGATGACATTGGGGAAATGATTATATCTGTGTCTCATTGACATGCAAAGGTAATTAACTGTGTGGATCATAATAAATTGTGGCTAACCTTGAGAAGAATAGGAATCCCAAGACACTTGATTGTGCTCATGCAAAACCTACACTACGGCCAGGAAGCAGTCATTAGAACAGAGCAAGGAAACACTGCATAGTTCAAAATCAGGAAAAGAATGTGTCAGAGATGCATATTTTCTCCAGACCTTTTCAATCTATATGTGGAACAGATTGTTTGGAAGGCTGCACTTTATGAAGTGGAATGTGACATCAGGATTGGAGGGAGACTCATCAACAAACTGCATTAAGCAGATGATACAACCTTGCTTGCCAAAACTTAGAAGGACCTGAACCATCTGCTGCAGAAGGTCAAGGACTAGTCTTCAACATGAATTGAAGCTCAATATCAAGGAAACAAAGATTCTCATCAGTAGGTCAATTGACAGCATCATGATAGATGGAGAAGAAATAGAAATTGTTAACAATTTCAGTTTGCTCAGCTCCAAAGTCAACATTGTTGATACCAGCAATCAGGAAATCAAAGGATGAATTGCATTAGGTAAATCTGCTGTCCGAAACTTCTACAGAGGACTAGAGAACAATGTCAATCTAAGGTGCACCCGAACCAGACTATGGTCTTTTCAATTAGTTGCTATGCATCAGAGTTGGACAGTGGCTAAGGATGACAGAGAAAGAAATGATGCCTTTAAGTTGCTGTGCTGGAGAAGACTATCGTACATCCCATGGACTACCAAGAAGACAATATTTCCTGGAGAGGGTGAAATCAAGTGTCTCCTTGGAGACAAGGATTTTGAAGCTCTGTCTCACATACTTTGGATATGTTGCCACAAGAGACCAGCGTCGAGAAAGACATCATGTTTGGAAGGATGGAGGGACAGTACAGGAGAGGAAAACTCTGAATGAGGTAGCTTGACACAGTAACTGGGATAATGAGGATAGATGTATCAGAGACAGCAAGATTGACTTAGGTTAGGCAGGGCTCAGAGCCATTGCACATAGGGTCACTGTAAGTAGCAGTCGACTTGACACCACATAAAAACAGCCACAACTTGGGGGAAAGGACAATTCAGATAAAGAAAGCAGTTGGTAAATTTGTACAGTGCTGTGAACGACAGGAATATTTGATCACTTTCTCAAGGATGGTCAATATAAGAGACACAGTTCCACAAGGAAAAACCTGAAGAAATCTGTTGGATTGGGGATAATATTGAGGATTAATTAAACTGAAGTCCTTATGTATTTGTAAGGAAATAAGAAGGTAATTTATCATCATATACAAGTAGAACGAGGAGTTTAGCTTAGCTGGTAGGAGTTAGAAGTTATTGATAAGATTATTGAAAAGACTTTTTTTATTTACATTTCCCCCTTTCCTGTAAATATCTGAAACTCTCTGTATAAAGCTTTTATTTTTCTGCTGTGACATTTTGTTCTCCACTAACTAGTTCACATACATTATTGATTACCATCTCCCCATTGTAGCAGCACACTTATTATTTCCCCCTGTGTTTCTTATTTTCCTGCGTCTTTCCCCTATCCCTTCCTGTCGTCTGAGATTTATTCCTGAATGGATGGTTGATTGTATTAAGGAATATTTTACTCTTTGATGTTATTCATCACCTGATAGGCCTGTCTATTATTGTTTGACTGAAAGTTGAATTATGGGGTGAGTTCAGTTTTCAGTTTGAAGGGTAACTCAGAACATAATCTTGATAGTTCTGCTACTCAGTCTGCCAGATCAGAAGTCCGTTATTTGTTTTTTTCACTGTGAAGTTAAGTTTTGTTTCATATTTTTCTTCCAGTCTATCAGTTATTTCTAATTATGATCCCTTTCAGAGCCAGGAGCAGTGAGAGTTGGGAATCATACAGTTCTTCTAGTCTTAGAGTTATGGTGATTGACATTCATGCAGTCCATTGGTTTTTGGATAAATAAAAATCTTTGATTTTATTTGCTTTTCTTGGCTCCAGATCAAGTGACAAATAATTACACCCTAGATGGCCACTCTCAAGTAGCAAGAAGACCAATATTCACCAAAGAAAGGGGTAGTGGATATGCTATGCTAATTGACTTGATGTGTACATCAAAGAAGGATGTAGAACACTGTGTTTGTGGATATGTTATGTCAGTTGATCTTGATGTGTAAAGTGTTCAGGCCCAGTGACTTATTCCCTGAAGGAGTTTGGCTATGGCTAAACAATTTAGTATTTTTATCTCTATTTGCTCGATTATATACAAGAGTCTATTTACAATATGTACAGCTATGTTTGTAGAATCACTTTCCAACAAATCTATGTGGTCACGGGTGTCTCCTTTATACTTTTAAAGCAAAAGAATTTCATCATTATCCAACTTGAAGTGAGTTCCATTAACAAGACTTGAATGACCCTACCATCTTGCTTTTCAGGTAGATTAGAAGTGTTTGTAAGCATTCTAAAGTTCATGACAAATACGAAAGTTGTCAATAATCTGATCTATTTTTTTTTTCAATTTTCAGAAAAGGTGGTGTGAATATTTCATCCTGAATAACATAAGCAATTTTGAGAATTTAAATTTAACTCATCTTCCTGACTTAAGTGATGAGCCTTTGTTGAAGAATATTACTTTTTACTATGAAAAAGAACATGTTCAAGGTACCACAGTGATTATATTTTTATACAGATAAGCATTATAAAATATTGAAAATGTCAAAAGTAGTTTAATTCTATCTTGGCTCCATGGTTATTTGTGTTTCCACAGTCTTCCTTTAGTTGTGTATATAAATTTGTTTAGTTTCAATCAGAAAAGATACTATGTTAAAATAATTTTTACTCTTATTATTAAAAAATAATTTTGGAACAAAAGCCATTTTGTTTTATATTTGGTATTTCACATAATTTTATGGGGTGAAAAAGGTGTAGGTAGCATGGAGATGGCCAAGTCCTTCCTCTACTAACTCCACAAAGCGGAACTGTCTGCATCAACAAAATCCATAGTACAAAACTAATTTCTGTAAGGTCAGACGTGGTCCCCCATGCTCCTGCTTCTATTTTTACTAATTCCAGCACCAATATTACTGCTCTACTGTGTCTAAAATTCGTTGCAATGAAAAAAATACTTCACAGAACCATACTCATGGTTGTGGGATTTATTACGGAAATTAACAGGCTATCTTTCAGGTTGGCTAGGTGCAGATAGCTTCTTAAGTGTTGTTGCTGGCCCTTTGACCTTCAGTATCACAACTTTCTCTGCAATCTCTTTCTATGAATCAAAGAGCTGGACAATGACTAGAGATAATAGGAGAATTGATGCCTTTGAGCTGTGGTATGGAGAAGAGTGTTACATATACCATGGACTGCTAAAAGAATGAACAGGTTTGTCCTGGAGAGGGTTAAATCAGGCTGCCCCTTGGAGGCAAGGATTCTGAAGTTTCGTCTGACATACTTTAGACATGTTGCAAGGAGGGACCAGTCTTTGGAGAGAGATGTCATGCTTGGGAGGGTGAAGGGACAGCGAAAGAAAAGAAGACCCTTGATGAGATGGATTGATTCAGTAACTGGGGGTAATAGGAATAGGTGTATCAGGGGCAATAAGATTGGCACAGGATAGAGCAGGGTTTAGGGTTGTTGTACATAGGATCTCTAAGAGTTGCAGGTGACTCAATGGCACAGAACAACAACATGCCAGTATTATACTCTTCCTTTAGTCCTTCAAGTTTCAGCATCTTCCCTCAGTCCTCCGACAAGTTTGGATGAAGGACTCTAATTTTGGCTCCAGGAGGCAGCAGTCCCAAGTCAGCTCTGTCTCAGATTCAGTCTCTGGCTCTAAAGGATGTGTGCTACTTCCTCTTCCTTATTAGTTGAGATTACCAATTTCTGACACAGAATCTGCTCAATTTAACGGAGAGACTAGCTAATCCTCTTGCGGATAGAGTCACACACTTTATTTTTATGATTCCACTTACCCATGTGGCGAAGTCAAAGTCAAGGACTAGGAAAGCCACTTTGAACAATAAACCCTTTACACCACAGTTTAATAGTTGAAAATTTCACAAGGTATGCATAATATTTTTTCCTTGATATTGTTTTTAATAGAAACATCCTACTCAACTAGGTGGATTGACATGCTGACTGCAGCAATGGGCTCTTGTGTGTCTGGAAGTGTGAGGATGGCGCAGGATAGAGCAGAGTTCAGGTCTTTTGTTCATAGGGTCGCCATATTTGACTTGACAACAATAACAACAACAACAACAATTCTAATTAAATATTTAGGATGTTTTTATTAAATCTTAAAAATTAAGCTCTTTTACACATTTATTATATGCAACTTAAGGAGCCATAATGGGGTAGTGGTTAAGTGTTCATTGCTAACCCAAAGGTAAATAGATGGAAACCCCTAGCCACATTGTGTGAAAAAGATGTGATAATATGTTGCTATAAATATTAAAGCCTTATTCATCATGTTGAATACTTCTACTTTGTCCTAAAGAGCCATTATGAATCAGAATATATTTTATGATAATGGATTTGATTTGGTTTGATTTAATTATCTAGGATCCCTGGGTGATACAAATGAATAAGTGTTCAGCTAGCCAAAAGTTGACAATTTGAACACACACAGAAGACAAACCTTCATGCAAATAGGGTAACGATGAGTCAGGAGCAATTCAGCAACAAAAATTAAGATTTAGTTATTAAATATACAAAGGAGATATACTTTATTATACATTTATAACATGTCATAAATAATTCTAGTGACCATTTTTATTTTAGTGTAGTATAATGGTGCAGTTTAATAAAAAAATTCATTCTCTGAATCCCATTTTAACTCAATGAATTTCACAAAAATATGTACTTTTATAGATGTGTAATGAAATTTTAGCATCTAGATTTTATTTTTTTTTTTAAATATCTAGGCCTACATTTGAATTTGGGGAATGTCATTGAAAAGGAGTATGAACATCTCTGGAATACTGTGTCAAACTTGGTGAAAGACTTTGAGGTTGGAAAACCATTTCCTATGAGAACAACAAAAGTTTGCTTTCTCAAAAAGAAACGTTCACCTATTAAAGGTAATAAATCCCTAGGTAATTATTTAAATAAATGATATTGAAATAACTATATTCTTCTGTAAATGGTCTGGAAACACCATTAAATCAATGTTAAAAGTATAAATAATTTTTATAGTTTGTATTTTAATAATAAAATATGATACATCTACTATAATATTTTGATGTTATGCTATGATTATAATTTTTAAATTGTTGATGAAGGAGTGGCATCCACTTCCTAAACAACATGCCTCCGGCAACTCTGAACTTTAATAATTGTCCATAGTTGTAGAAGGGATTAAGACCTTTTGTTCATAGGGTCACTATGAGTCATGCTCAACTCGAAGCCAATCAACAGCAACATGCAATTTCACATTATTATATACTTAATAGTAAGGAGCTACAAGGTCAATCTAAAAGTACCCAGTTCAAATCCATCAAGTGCTCTGAGGAAAAAGATGGGCAATCTCCTTCCATAAGATTTAATTCCTCGAATAATCCACTGGAGGGTCACCTATGAGTTAGTTTCTGTTCTATAGTATATAAGAACAATATATAAATGTATGTTATATATTATTAAAAATTGACAAAAACTGCAAGCAAAATATGATTGTTAAAAATTGTAGTCATAGCATGACATATTAAAAATATTACAAGATTCTTTGTCTCACACACACACACACACACACACACACACACACACACACTTTCTAACATATTCCATAGCATTTGTACAGCTAACCTAAAGGAAAAGCAACCGCTGAGTTTCAAATTAATTGTGACTTTTCAGGAGAGAAGGTTACCAATTGCCTCTCATGAGTTAGAACCTCAGAAACACAATGGAACGTCTCTATGAGTCAGAATTGACTTTACAGCAGTGGGCTAGATATTTATATCACTGTATTAATCAATTTATCTCTTCTGCATTAGCAGTAACATCACAGTGTATATAAACTGAAAAATCCCTTTATGAAAAATTGAAAATCTTGGCTCAAAACCACAAAATTATTTTAAGTTAACTAGAGAGATAAACTTATAAAGGAAAAACACAAGATGCAATAAAGGAAAAACAAACTAGAAACCAAAATGGGAATCACATGCAAACTGAGACTGTCCTGAGGAGCATTACTGACCACAGTGATTCAGAAATGCATATCCCAATTACGCTGGGACGGGGCAAGGAATAAGAACACAGAAACACATGGTTTTAGACCTGAATCCCATGCAAATCTGAATTTATAGAAAGGCCCAACTCCCACAAAATTTGCTTTTTTTAGCAAAAAGAGACAACTAACCATTTTACTGAGTCTGGAGTGTGGATGGCAGAACAATGTGAAACCCTTTGGAAACCCTTTGGGGCCTTTCTGCTATGTCAAATAAAGTCTCTATGAGTTGGAATTGAATTGAATGTACCCCACCCTCTCTAGCATCTGTAGTTTAAACTGAAATTCTACTGGAGTGACACAAACAAAAAGAAAAACAAAAAACACAGCAAAACCAAAGTCAAACAACTCTAATTGCTATTGATTGAGAGCTAACTCATAGATAACCCTCACACACATATACACATAAATACATTCCCTAGTGGTAAGAAGAAGTAACCTTTCAGCTGCTAATCAGAAGGTTGATGGTTGGAACCAATCTACCATTCTGTACAAGATGAAATAATCTGCTTCCATAAAAACATACAGTTTGAGGGATTCTATCAGAATTGTGTACTCTGTCATATAAGATGATGTTGACTATGCAAAAGCACTGACTGAATAACATGAAGAAGAATGAGAACACTTTAATTGTGCTCATGTGAAACCTGTATATAGTCCTATAAGTAGTGTCATAGCAGAATAAGAGAATATTGTATGGTTTAAAATGAGGAAGGTATGCATCAACTTTACTTCCTTTTTCTATACCTATTGAATGTGTATACTGAGAAAATAATTTGAGAAGCTCAACTACATAAAGAAGAATGTGGCATAAGAATTGGAGGAAGACTTACCAATGACCTGTGTTATGTAGATGAAACAACCTTCCTTGCACAAATTGAAGAGGACTGGAGGGTCTTGCTGCAGAAGACAAAGGTCTACAGCTTTCAATGTGGATTACATTTCAGCATCAAGAAAACCAACTTTTAACCACTGGACTAACAAACTACATCATGATAGATGGAGAAGAGATTGAAATTATCAAGGATATATTTTTGTTTTTAAATCCACAATCAGCATCCATGATGACAACAATAACAAATCAAAAGACTTCTAGGATTGGGTAAATACATCCGCAAGGACCTCTCCAAAGTGTTAAAGAACATACATGTTTTAAGATTAATGTGTGTCTAATATGGAGCTTTTTTAAAGGGAATTTGCAAGAGATAAATACTTCTAAATAAAAAATTTAATTATTCTATTTTCTGTCTCATTTTTCTCATCAAGCTTGTATTTTCCATAGGAATCATATTGACTACATATGTGTGGGGAGAATCTCTGGAGAAGCCCAATATCAGCAGTCAAAACTAGACCAGAGGTGAACTGTGGGTCAGGTCATCAACTACTCATATGTAAGTTTAAACTGAGGCTGAAGAAAATGAAAATAAGTACATAGGAATCACAATATGGTCTTGAATCAATTCCTTCTGAATTTCAAGATCATCTTAAGAATAGGCTTGAGGCACTGAACACCAATAATCGAAGAACAGAAATGTGGAATGATATCTCCTGAAGAAAGAAAAGGACATTACAAAAACAGAGGAGAAAGAAAAAAAAGATAGAAATAGATGTCAGATGACACGCTAAAGATTTAACTGGAATATTGAGAAGCCTAAACAAAAGGAAAACATGTTGAAGTGAAAGAGCTGAACAGAAGATTTCAGAAGACAGCTCAGGATAAAAAAGCATTATAATGGAATGTGTAGAGAGCTGGAATTAGAGACTAAAAGTGGAAGAATTTGTTCTGCATTTCTCAAGCTGAAAGAACTGAAAAACAAATTGAAGTCTCTTGTTAAAATGTTAAAGATGTACGAACAATATATTGAATGATTCAGAAAGCATCAAAAGAAGGTGGAGGAAATACACAGAATCACTATACCAGAAGAATATATTGATACTGAAAAGTTTAAGGAAGTTCCATATGAACAGCAGCCAATAGTAATGAAGGAGGAAGTCGAAGCTGCATTGAGCACATTGGCAAAAAAATTAGGCCCCAGGAATCAAAGAGATACTGATTGACTTATTTTGATTAATAGATGTGACTTGGATGTCCTCATCAGTCTATGCCTGGAAAATTGGAGAATAGCTATCTGGTCAACAGATTGGAAGAGGCCCATATTTGTTCCCATTCTGAAGAATAGTGATCTAGCTGACTGTGGAAACTATCAAACAATATCATTATTGTCAGATGCAAACAAAATTCTACTGAAGATCATTCAGCAACAGTGGAACAATACAGAGACAGGGAACTTCCAGAAGTTCAAGTAGGATTTAGAAGAGGCCTTGGCACCAGGGATATTATTGCTGATATCAGATGGATCCTACCTAGCTGAAAGTAAGAAATATCAGAGCAATGTCTTTTTGTGTTTTATTGACTCTGCAAAGACATTTGACTATGTGAATCCTAACAAGTTGTGGCTGACATTGACAAGAAAGAGAGTCCCAGAGCACTTGATTGTGCTCATGCGGAAAGAATACCTGGACTAGGAGGAAGCTATTGTGTGAACAGATCAGGAGAACACTGCATAGTTTATAATTGAGAAGGGAGTGTGTCAGGATTGTATTCTCTCTCCATATCTGCTAAATCTGTATATAATTCAATCTGGACTTTATGAAGAGGAGTGTGGCATCAGGATTGAAGTGAGACATACATGTTATGCAGATGACACAACCTTGCTTGCTGAAAGTGCTTGATGCACTTGTTGAGGTATAACAAGGCATGCAACCTTTAATATGGATTGTATCCTAATGTCAAGGAAATGAAGATTCTTACCACTGGACCAATAGACAATATCATTATGGATGAAGTGGAGATTGAACTGTCAACAGCTTCATCTTGCTTGGATCCACAATTAACACCCTTGGTACTAGAAGCCAGGAAATAAGGAGACACATTCTATTGGAAAAATCTGCAGTTAGAGATTTCTCCAAGTTATTGAGGAGTAGTGATGTTAGTTTGAGGACTAAGGTGTGACTGATTCAGGTCCTAGTCTTTTCGGTTACTTGGTATGCATCTAAGAGCTGGACAATAAGAAAGGATGACAGAAAAAGAATTGATACCTTTGAGCTGTGGTGTTGCAGAAGACCACTGAACATACCATGAACAGCCAAGAGAATGAACAAATATGTCTTGGAGAGGGTGCAGCCAGAGTGCTCTTTTGAAGTAAGAATGCTGAGGATTTACCTGACATACTTTGGGCATGTTATTAGAAGAGGCTATTTCTTGGAAAAGGACTTGATGCTGGGAAGGATGGAAGGTCAGCAAAGGAGAGGAAGACCCTCAATCAGGTGGATTGACATGGTGACTGCTACAATGGACTCCTGTGTGTCAGGATGTGTGAGGGTGGCATAGTATAGAACAGGGTTCAGATCTTTTGTTCATAGGGTTGCTGTGAGTCCTACTCGACTCAAGAACACCTAGCAGCAACAATAGAGAGTTTTGGTGGCCTAGTGGCAAAAAGCTGCACTGTAATCTTAAAGGCACATAGTTTGAAACTACCAGAGCTCCATGGGAGACAGATGGACAATCTCCTGTGCTAACTTCCTCTCAAAACCCACCAGATGGTTGGCTGTGGATTGGCTCTGACTCTACTATACAAAGCACACACAATTTAAGTAATGGTATTTTCAGTTGTTTATTGCTATTGTTGTTATGTGCCATTCAATCACTTACAACTCATAGTGTCCCTATGTACAACAGCTCTAAACACTGCTCTATCCTGAGCCAACCTTGTTGTCTCTGACACACATATTTCCATTACCCCAGTCACTAAGCCGATGCATTTCATTAAAGGTTTTCCTCTCTTGCACTGTTCCTCCACCCTCTTAAGTATGATGTCCCTCTCCAGGACTGATTCCTTCTTGCAACATGCCCAAAGTATGTGAAATGAAACTTCAGAATCCTTGATTCCAAGAAGAAGCCTAGTTTCACTCTTTCCAAGACTAATATTTTTGTTCTCCTAGAAGTCCATAGTATAGTCAGTACTCTTCTCTGGCAGCACAGCCCTAGTCATTGTCAAGTTCTCCGATGCATAGCAAATAATTGCATTTCCACGGCCTGGATCAGGTTTACCTTAGTCTCCAGACTGTCATTGTTGCTCTTGAGTACTTTGGAGAGGTTCTTGATAGCAGACTTATGCATATAAAAATTGGGCCGTGAATAAATAATCCTGAAGAAGAATTGATGTCACTGAATTGTGGTTATGGAGAAGAGTTTTTACAGTCCCATGAACTTCTAAAAGAATGAACAAAACTATCCTGGAGGAAGTACAAACAGGAAACTCTTTAAAGGCAAGATTGATAAAACTTCATATCACATACTTTAACATGTTGTCAGGATGGGTTAATCCTTGGAAACAATACATAGTGCTAAAAAAGGTAAAGGAACATTGTAGAGATGAAGATATTAATGCATATTAATTGATTGACACAGAGATTGTGGTCATGGCCTCAAGCACGTTCTAGATGGTGAAGATGATGCAGGCTAGGGCAAGATTTTGATCTGTTCATTAGGTTGCTTTGAGTTGTAATCTATTTGATTGAAGCTCTGTTGGTCTCATGGTAGGAATCTTTACTGAAATCCCCAAATCATGTAGTTCGAATCTGCCAGCTGCTTAACAGGAGAAGGATAGACAATCTTTTCCCTTGTGATTACAGCTTCTGAAAATCTGCTAGAGGGTCAGTTATAAGTCTGTTCCAGTGGGATGGTACACAATGACAAGAACCAACAGAAGCAGATCTGGACATGTTCACCAGGCTCTGCCCAGGAATCTGAAAGACAGGCACCTGGTCAACTGACTGGAAGAGGTCCATATTTATTCCAATTTAAAGAAAAAAGATGATCCAACGGCTTGTGGAAATTATCAAACAATATTGCTGATATCACACATAAGAAAAAAACTTGCTGAAGATTATCCCAAAACAACTGAAATAGAACATTTACAGACAACTGCCAGAAGTGAAAACAGGGTAAAAGAGGCTGTGGGATGAGAAACATCATTGCCAATATCAGATGGATCTTGCCTGAAAGCAGAGTACCAGAGGAATGTCAATCTGTGTTTCATTGACTATGCCAAGATTTTTGACTGTGAATCACAAAAATTGGCTAACATTTAGAAGAAGGAGATCCCAGAATAATTGATTGTGCTCATGTCGAGTCCATATTGGACCAGAAAGAAGTAGTTAAGACAGCAAGAAAATGCTGCATTGTTCAAAATCGGGAACAAAGCGTGTCTGGGATGCATCCTGTTGCCATACCTTTATTATCTATATGTGAAGCAGATAATTCAGGAGGCTGAACTTTATGAGAAGGAATATGGCAGTAGGATTGGAAGAAGACTCATCAACAACTTGCACTATGCAGATAACATAATCTTGCTTCCTGAAACTGAAACTGAGGAGGACATGAAATATTTGCTGTAGAAGATAAAAAACTGCAGTCTCCAATTTGGATTGCAACTCAACATCAAGAAGACAAAGCTTGCCAAATATAGCCAGAAACGCACAATAGGGTAAAATTGATGAATGTGACTTTCTAAAGATTAAATCCCTGTGTGCATCAAAAACATTTTCACATGAAAAGAAAACCTACTGACAGGAAAAAAGCTTTTGGACATACCATTTTGGACAGATGTAAAGCATAAAAAAGTTTGCTGAATCCTACAGGGTCTCCACAAGAAAAAAAAAAAGCCAATTCAACAAAACTAACACAGTTACAAAATGGGCAAAACACATAGAAAGACTTTTCACAAAGGAAGATATTAGGATGGCCAGCAGACACGCTCAAAGTCACTGGCAATAAGAGAAATGCAAATCAAAACCACAATGAGATACCATCTCACTTCAATAGCAGCGGCAAAGTTTAACAGAACAGCAAATGGTGAATGTTAGAGGATATGGAGAGATAGAAACTCATATACACTGGCGGTGAGATTGTAAAAGGATACAACCATTCTGCAAGGAAGTTTGACATTTCCTCAAAAAGCTAAACATTGAAATTCAATATGATCCAGCTACTTCATTGCTTGAGTAGACCCAAAGAAAATTAGAACTGAGCTAAGAAAGGTTATTTACACCAATATTCATATTTACACCAATATTCATAACAGCATTATTCACCATCACAAGAACATGGAAACAGCCCAAATGTCCAACCACAAACAAATGAATTGAGGAATTATGGTACATTCATACAATGGGATACTACACAGCACGCAGAAGCAATGATTTTGAAAATCACGACCTAACTTGGGAGGGACTGGAGAGCATTATGCTAAGTGAACTAACGGAGTCCTATAAGGACAAATACTGTATAAGGCCATTATTATAGAAATAAAAAAGTAACTAGTAAAACGTGTATGAAACTCCAAGGGGAGGGTAGAAGCAGAGGGGTGAGGACAGGCAAGGGGATAATGATAGGGTAATGGGAATTGATGGGTATAAGGAGGTAAAGGAAATGGAAAAGATCTGGCATGAAAAAAAAATGTATATGAAGTTCATAAATAAGCCAGTATAAAATAAAAATTTTATTTAAAACCTGAAAAAGACAAAGCTTCTTACCTCTGGGCCAATTGACAACATCATGATAGATGGAGAAGAGATTGAGGCTATTAACAATTTCAGATTTGTTGGTTCCATAATCAATACTCTTGGCACCAGCCGTCAGGAAATCAAAAGATTAATTGCATTAGAAAAATCTACTGTCGGGGGGATTTCTCCAGACTGCTGACAAGCAATGACACCACTCTAGAGACTAAGGTGTGCCTGATCCAGGCCATGACTTTGCAATTACTTGCTATGGATCTGAGATCTGGACAATAAGGATGACAAAAGAGGAATCAATGCCTTTGAATTGTGGTGCTGGAGAAAAGTATTGAACAATACCATGGATTGCCAAAAGAACAAATATAGCTGCTCTAGAGAAAAGGAAATCAAGCTTCTTATTGAAGGCAAGGATTTGAAGCTCCATCTCACATACTTTGGGCATTGCAGTCAGGAGGGACCAGTCCTTGGAGGAGGACATATGCTTGGAAGGGTGGAGGGACAATGCAGGAGAGAGAGACCCTGGATGAAATGGATTGCCACGTGTACTGGGATTAGGGGGACAAAGCGTGTCAGAAACAATGAGATTGATTCAGGTATTGTGCATAAGATGTTTATGAGTGAAAGATGCATACAAAAACAACAACAACAACAACAACACAACTACAACAATGAAGCAGACTCTGTGGCAACAGACTCAAATACGTCCAGGATAATAAGAATGTCTCAGGACACGACAGAGTTCAGATCTATTCCTGAGGACTCTGAGTCATACTTCACTAGAGGGAATATAACAGCAACAATAATAACAGTGAATGAGCCAGACTGGTCTTGATTGCAGTAGGTTTACTTTCATAACTGTATACACAGAGTAAATCTGTGGATAAAATACCATGCTCACAATTCTTACAATATGAAATAATAAAATTAACAAATGTTTGAAAATAGAAAACTGGTGTTTTTCTGTGTCTGCTTGTCTGTTTATATCTATCATCTCTTGTGTACCACCCTCTTACCTACCTACCTACCTACCTGCTGGCTTAAATGTCATTACTGGGTTTTGGTTTTTTCCCCCCCAAAATATATTTTGTTATGTTTTATGAACCACGAGAGGCATCACCCTTGGGTGCATCTCCTTCCAGGCTGTGCCATGAGAGCTCTCTAAAAGTTTTAATGTGAGAAATAGTTTTATAGGAGAGAACTCTGGTAGCGTTGTGGAGAGGAGGTTCCCTGACAACATAAAGAAACGTTCAAATCCACCAGCTGCCTCATTGGAGAAAAGATGGGCTATCTCCTGCAGTGGGATTTACTCTCTCTGAAAACTCACTGCAGATTCAGCTATGAATTGGCTCCAATTTGACTGTATATAGCAACAACTGTTTTATAGGAATCCTTGAAAATTATAAATCTAAATAGTATCAATATCACTTTCTATAAATGTGAGGTTGTAGAAAGCAATGCATAATTGTCTGATTTTTTTTTTTCATACAAATTTCACATTGGAGCTTACTTATTTTGTTTGCAGAAATTTCCAAGGGAATGGTGCCTAATTTGGGATTTATTCCAGTGTCGTGTAAACTGGTGGATGAGTTTGTTGGAGACATTTTAAAAGACTTACCTTTCCTAAAGAGGTATAGTATTTTAGTGTGGTCCAAGAAATGTTTATGAAATTAATGCATGTCTCACTAATTATTGCTTGAAATAATACATGTTATATAAATACAATGAATTTCATAAAAAATGTTGGTGTTGTTATACCCCATTGAGATAGTGAACCAATACACACTATCTCTGAATTCTACTCTAAACTGAGCCAATCACACTGCCACCACCACACCTACCTCCTTTACCCTAGTTTTGTGGCAACCCACCTCATTTGGGGTCTTCTTCTGCTGCACTGTCCCTCCATCCTTCTAAGTATGATGCCCTTCTTCAAGGTCTGGCCTCTTCCGGAAGTCTGCCCAAAATATGTCAGAAGGAGCTTCGAAATCTTTACTGCCAAGGAGTAACTTGGTTTCACCCTCTCCAGACAGACTTGTTCTCTTGACACTCCATGGAATGTTCAATGCTCTTAATGAACATCACACCTCAAAGACATCAATTCTTCTGTCACCCTTAGTCACTGTCTAGGACTATGATTCATGGCAAATAATTGAGAAGACCATGGCCTGTATCAGGTGCAACTTAGTTACTAGACTGACAGCATTGTTCGTTAGCATTTGTAGAAGTTCCTGATAGCAGATTTTCCCAGTGCAATCCATCTTTTGATATCCTGACACGTGGTTCTAAGACTGTCTACTGTGGATAAAAGCTACCTGAAATTGTTAACAATCTCAATCTCTTATTTATCTATCATGGTTTTGCTAATTGGTCCAGTGGTGAAAGTCTTTATTGTCTTGATGTTGAGCTTCAATCCATATTGAAGTCTTTGACCATTTGCAGCAAATGTTTCATATCCTCTTCAGCATCTGTGAGGAATGTTGTGTCATCTGCATAGCATAAGTTGTTGATGAGTCTTCTTCCAATCCTGATACCACATTCTTCTTCATAAAGTCCATCCTCCCGAATGATCTGCACTACATAAAGATTGAAATAGTATGGAGAAAGATGCATCCCTCATGTACACCTTTCTTGATTTTGAACCAAAGAGTGTTTCATTGCTCTGTTCTCACAACTGCTTCCTGGTCCAAGTATAGGTTTTGCATAAACACAATCAAGTATTCTGAGATTCACATTCTTCTCAAGGTTAGCCACAATTTGTTGTGGTCCATGCAGTCAAATTCCTTTTCATAGTCATTTAAACACAAATAGACATCCCTCTGGTACACTCTGTTTCATCTGAAATCCCTCTGACAGCGTAGATGATGTCCCTAGTGTCATGGTCTCTTCTAAACCCAGTTTTTACTTCTGGCAGTTATTAGGAAAAAACCCATATAGTCCTAGCTTAAAATCTTCTATCTGTAAGGGCTTTGTTGTGATTTAATGATTTGCTAATTTTGACTGTATTGTTGGAGAAACGGAGTGGATTCTAGATTTTTAAATTGAAGAAATTATTCTTGAGATTATACAGTTAATATTATAAAATAAAAAGATAAAAAAGATTATGATGTTACAACTTTTAATAAATTAATAGAAACTTAGCCTTTAGGAAAAGCCTGTAACAGTGTGAGAGCTGTGGTGGCCTAGTGCTATTTGCACTGCAATACCAAAACATTCAAATCAGCCAGCAGCTTTGCAGCAGAAAGATAAACAATCACCTCTTGTGCTATCAACTGCCTCTGAAAACCCACTGGAGGGTAAGTAATGGATTGATTCGGACCCAAAGGTGCACAACACCACCACCATCACCACCTTACAATACTTTAGGCAAAGGGACTCTGCATTGTAGTTAATAGATAAAATAATAAAAGACTTATCTCCCTCTAAGGCTTTTTTTGAATATCTAAAGGGATCCTAAATAAAATTCTTTCAGTCTAGTAAAGCAATTAAAGATTTTGTTGTTGATGTTGTTAGGTGCCTCAAGTACAACTCATAGAGACCCTATGAACAAAAGATCTGAGCCCTGTTCTATCCTGTGCCATCCTCTCACTTCCTGACACACAAGAGCACTTTGTAGCAGCCACCATGTAAATTCACCTAGTTGAGGGTCTTCCTCTCCTTCACCAACTCTCCACCCTTCCCACCATCAGGTCCTTCTCCAAGGAATAGCCTCTCCTAGCAACGTGCCCAAAGTATGTGACCTGAAATTGGCCATAATGTTTCTAGTGCCACAACCTCTTTAAATCCAGCTGGTATTTCTAGTAGTTCTCTGTAGATTAGTGTTCCAATAATTTTTAATAATCTTCAGCAGGATTTTGCTTGTGTGTAATATTAATGATATTGTTCAATAGTTTTCACATTTTGTTAGGTCACCTTTTTTTGGAATGGAAATAAATATGAGTATCTTCTAGTCAGTTGGCGAGGTAGTTGTTCCCCAAACTTCTTGGCACAAACTGGTGAGCACATCCAGGGCAGCATTTGTTGTTGAAATATGTCAGTTGGCATGCCATCAATTCCTGGCACCTTGGTTTTTTTGCTAACTCCTTCAGAGCAGGTTGAACTTCCTTTTTCATCACTATTGCCTCTTGATTATATGTTGTTCCATGAAATTCTTTTGTGTCAGCCAATTCTTCTTGGTACAGTCAGTCTGTGTACTCCTTCCACTTTTTTTTTCTTTCTTCCTGGATCAGTCAATATTCTGCCAAAACTTCTTTAAGTATTGCAACTTGAGGCTTGAATTTGTTCTTTCATTTTTAGCCTATGAAATGTGGAGTTAGTTCATCCCTTTTGGTTATCTAACTCCAGCTCTATGCACATTTCATTATAATACTTTGCCTTGTCTTCGCATAGTCATCCTTTGAAACTTTCTGTTCAGTTCCTTAATGTTCTGCTTTTCTCTCCTTTGCTTTTGCTTCCTGATGCTCAGTGAAATATTTAGAGTTTCTTCTGACATATATCTTGGTCTTTTCTTCCGCTTCTGTCTTTGTAGTGACATGTTGCATTCTTCATTGTTGATAATCATAATATCTTCTCACAGCTCTTCTGGTCTTCTTCATTCATTAGTGTTCCAAGCCTCAAATCTGTTCCTGAGATAGTTTCTAAATTCAGGTGTGATATACTCAAGGTTAAATTTTGGTTCCTGTATATTTGATTTATCTCTGTGTAGTCATAAAATATTTAGGTCATAAAATATTACAATAAAAGGGAGCTCTGGTAGCAAAGTGGCAAGAAGCTGCACTGTAATCTTGAAGTGGTGTGGTTCAAATCCCCTCCTGTGCCAGTTGGATCTGAATCAACAGTATACAATTTGGGGAAAAAATTACTGTAAGGTAATATGTATACAATGTTATCTTTGGAAGAATAGAATTATATATATAACTTTTTTTCTTGTAGCGATGACCCTATGGTTACTTCACTTGTTAAACACAAGGAATTTGATGAGCTTATGCACTGGCATTCCCATAAGCTGCTGAAGGATGACTATGATTGTGCAAGGTGTGATGCTGATGGTGAGTTTTCTGACTATTTAAATAAATATAAATGCATTTCAAACTAACTTTTATTGTAGAGTGAAATTTTCCCCTTTGTTACTGCTTCACATGTACAGATAAGTTTTAAGATATCTGAAGGAAGAAGTGCACATATATGGGTTTTGTCTCTAAAAGTGTCAGAAGCAGTTTTTAGGAACAATGATGTGTTATTTCAGGGATCTCTGTATTCTTTCAATGCTAATCTACTGACAAAATCATCGTTTTTAAGTAATTGCAACTTTTTTTCATACAATCCAATTAATTTCATTCAATAAGCACACAAATTTTCTCTATTTTTATTATGAAACTACAAAAATGACTTTTTGTTACCACGAAGAGTAGAACAACAGTGATTGACTTAGGGTTGATGTGTTTCCACTTTATTATTTTTATTTATTTTGTCTTTTTAACTCCTTCTGTTCACTCTATCCTTCTTAAGACTGACATATTTACTTTTATTAAAATCTGGGATTTGGGATTGTAAGTATGCTCATCTGAAATAATTACAGTTTGTTTATTCAAGTAACTACCAAAATGTTGTGGTTTTAAGGTGCTGAGATATGCTTTAATCATTGACAACCTTCAAGATAGGGTTTTCTGATAAATGTGATACACAGACATAAAATAAGTTTTCATATTTTTGTGAGTATGTTAAATAGTTTTTCTTAGTTATAAAAGTAAGTCAAATGTTGATTACTGAAATTTTCTATGTCATTAGATTTTGCAATAGTGATAGAGCTTAGATTTCTCAGTTGCTAAAATCCTGTCTCTGAGGTGGTATGTAGTCAGAACTTTCCTATTCAAGGATACATGAAATCTGAAAATATTAGAGGAACGTCATCCTTATAATCACTGTAACGTCCTCTTCTTTTTTAAACTTTCTTTTTTAATTTTCACCTCTTTTTAAAAGCAATTGTCATTATGTCATAAATATATTTGTTTACTTTTTCATCTAATGCTCATTAATACCATTTTTTTTTTGTTTTTTTTTCCTCTCTCTCTCCTCTCCCCCCTCTCTCATCTTCTTTTTTTTATGTGTATCTTTTCCTTTTCTACACCAGAGGTGTAGCGTCTAGTCCTATTTTTTTTTTTTTTTTTCTTTAGGCATTCTAATGTTTACTTTTGGAGGGGAACAAGAAAAGTATTTTGTCACTTTTATCCTTTTACTAAGATAAGTAATTATAAAAGATGTTGTTGTTACTATTAGTGTCATCCATTCAACTACAATTCATGTTGTTGTTGTTAGGTGCCCTCAAGTTGAATATCACTCAGTGACCCTATGAACAGCAGCTAGGAGCCCTGTCCTGTCCTCTCCCAACCGCATCATGCCTGACAAACTTGAGCTCATTGCTGCAGTCACTGTGTCAATCCATCTTGTTAGGGGCCTTCCTATCTTTCACTGACCCTCCGTCTTTCCAAGCGTGATATCCCTTTCCAAGGAATAGCCTTTCCTTACAACATGCTCAAAGTATGAAAGAGAGAGAACTACATCATCTATGCCTGTAAAGAGTACTCTGGCTTCACTTTTTCCAAGACATATCTGTTCATTTGGAAATCTATGGGACATTTGGTACTCTTCTCCAATACCACAACTCCAAGGTATCGATTCTTCTTCTGTCACCTTTATTCACAGTTCAGCTCTCAGATGCATAGCAGGAAAAGACTATGGCCTGAATCAGTCACATCTTAGTATTCAAATGGACATTGTCACTCTTAAGTGTTTTGGAGAGGTCCCTGATAGAGTACTTGCCCAACAAAATAAATGTACAGATCTCCTGATGAGTTCTAAGGGTGTTTTGTTGATTGTTAATCCAAGCAAGATGAAATATTTCACACCTTCAAACCTTTCTCCATCTATCACGATGTTGTCTATTGAGGTTCTTTGTTTTCTTCATGTTGGGATGTTAACTATACTGAAGGCTATAGTCCTTTATACTATGCAGCAATATTTCAAGTCCTCCTCACCTCCAGCAATCAAGGTTGTGTTGTCTCCGTGACACAGGTTGATGAGTCTTCCTCTAATCCTGAGGCCATATTCCTCTGCATAGAGTCCAACTTAATGGATTATTTTCTCATCATATAGACTGAATATGTATGGAGAAAGGATACATCTCTTACTCATAATCTTCCCGATTTTAAACCATGCATTGTTCCCTTGCTTAGTTCAAATAGCCACTTCCTGGTCTATATATAGGTTTTGCATGTGCAAAATTAAGTGTTCCTGTTCTTCTCAATGTTAGCCATAGTTTATGATCCCTTTGTATAGTCAATAAAACACAAATAGGCATTCTTCTTGTCCTTTTTGCTTTCAGCCAAGATTTATCTGACATCAGCAATGATATCCCTGGTGTCATCTTCTTCTGAACCCTGCTTGAACGTCTAGCATTTCTTTGTCTGTATACTGTTCTAGCTATTTTGGATGATCTTCAGCAATATTTTGCTTGCATATGATATTAATTATACTCTTTAATATTGTCAACATTTTGTTGGATCACCTTACTTGAGAATGGGAACAGATAATGGATATTTTTCAATCGGCCAGGCAGCTGTCCTACAAATTTCTTGGCGTAGATTGGTGAGCATGTCTATGGCTTCATCTGTCATTTGAAATATGTCAATTGGTATTCTATCTTTTCCTGGGACTTTGTTTTCTGCCAATGCCTTCAATGCAGCTTGAACTTCATCTTTCATTACCACTGGCTCTTGTTCATATGGTCCTTGCTGAAATTTTTCTGTATTAACCAAGTGACACTGAAAGTCACCAGTGAGTCTATGTATTCCTTCATCTTCCTTTTTTCTATTTAAATATTAAACTTATTATAACTTGAAGTAAAATCAGGAGGAAAATGATGAAATAGTCTTTTTGTTGCAGAAAAAAAAAACACTCCACGGCAGGTGTGCTTGAAACAAAATTATTTCGAAGAGTCATCATATTTTTTTAATTTCCTTTTGTGTTTGTCTTACAGATTCTATAGAAATTTGAATATCTTCCAGTTCTATGCCTTTCTTTCTCCTTGTACTTGGTTTCAGCGATTGATTTGACTTCCAGATGAGTCCTGGAAACCAGGTTCTGGGAAGGAGTAGCCTTTTAGTACTTTCTTCTATTGGCTGGTCAGTTCATTGTTCATTTTTGGGACACTTACCATCGTGTACAATGTTTCACTTTGATCTGGCTAACACCATCTTTTTCAAACTATCATACCATTAAGTGAGTCCCATGATCTGATGTCTGCAAACTTGTGATAATGTTCACCTGTGAGTGGATCAAATTAAAATAACTTGCAAGCCATTTCCTCATTGTATATTTTCCAGTCTCTGACTGCTTGTTTTTGAGCTTCTAAAACATATTTCTCTCGAGTAGTTTAGTTTAGTTTTTGGCATTTATAGCTCTAGTGGCTCACTGCCAGGGTTTCTCTGATTAAAAAATCACCAGCTCTTCAAATTTTACAATGCATCTTATTAGTATCCATTGCTTAGAGTCAGTTGTTAGGTTCCAGAAAACTTCTGAAGTATCAGTCTTTTTGTGAATAAAAACTTCACTACCGAGTGACCTTCCAAAGTACCTAGGACTTCTTTTACCAATTTAAGATTCCCTGGTATTTGATTAACACAAACCCTACTTCCTAAAACTGGCTTTAATTTAAATTCAAGTGTTGCACTGTATCTAGTTTTTTGATGTGCATACCGACTGTTCCCTCAGGCTCCAATGTCGTTGTGCCATAAATATGTCTTTACAATGAACATATGACATTGGTATTTACATACACTTCACCTCTATTCAAAAAAGTTAATATTGCAGAGTTAATATCTCCAATATTGCAGAGAAAGAGTTTCCACAGAATTCAGACTTTAGCCAGAATGTTACCACTAAGGCAAAAGCCATCCTTTTGATTACTAACATAAAATACATTGGTGGATGTTCAGCATTAGAAAATGTTTTGCTACTAGTCCTGATGAATCCACCAAGAGTAGGAGTATACGATTTCTTCAGTCCCTCCAGTTTTTTATAAAATCCTGCCAAATAACTTTTCACTATTTTCTTCAAACAGAAGCAAGGATTTTCCTTTAGGGCAGCCCTTGCATAGGAAATCAACATGATAGTAGTAATCTGAAAGTTCATCCAGGGAAGAATGAGGCTCTAAAATAAATGTAGGTAGAACTACCCTGGACAGGTCCATGCCAGGATAGATGTGTTTCGGTCCAGATAAGACTCTTGTTTTCTTCAGACACAGTTTCTGTTTGAGCACCCTTTCCTCCCTCTCTGAGTTCTTCATGACTCTGTTAAGGGCAGATTTTCTCTTTTAAAGGCTCTGTAGGCTCAGGTTCAATGTATGAGTTGTTCTGCCTTTCTGATGTATCTGTGTCACTTTTTTCATTTTCCCCTCATCACGTCATTGTCAGACTCATTATGTTTCTGATCACTTTCTGTATCAGATTTATCAGAATACATATCTTGGACCTTAAAATGCTATCTTTCAGTTTCCCTATTGTTTAATTGGAAGCTGTCACCACTCTGTAGATAGTTAGCACGTAGTAAGCCATACAGAGTCACATGCGTGCTATCTGATGAGATGCTTGGGCCATGTTCCTTTCCTTTTCTGATCATTGTACGCTTTAGAAGACTAGAACATTTTAATGCTAATTCTGAAGTATCCAGCCAGCACCTGCTGTCTGACTCTGAAGTAGCTCTGATTATCAAGTAATTGCTCTGTAAAGGTTGAGTTATGAATCGAACTAGTTCACCTTTTGGACCCTTCAATGCACAAATAGATTGCTTCAATGGATAAAAAAGTTTGAAACAAAAGTCATCCTTTTTTGATGGATACTCAATGATTTCACAGGCATTCAAGCACACTGTTCCAACCCACTGACCCATTTCTTTTTTATTTTATAGATCAGAAGCACCCCAGGTTTCAACATACATTGCAATTAGGTCCAGCTTTTCAGAGTACCATGAATCTTCAACCAATCAGCCACAA